CACTGAAGACTGGAGTAATGGCTGCTGAAAATTCAGCATTGCCAAATGCCAACACATAAATAAATTACAATTTAAAATATATTACAATATATTAACATAATTTTAAAATGTAAAAACATTTCACAATATTACATTACTAGTTACAGCATACCAAACTAAAAACTCAAAGCTAAAAAAGAGTTAGCTGGACAAAAAATTATGATGTGGCATGAAATGAGCAGCCAATGAAGCCATAACCCAAAGCAATGGCATTTCTGATGGAAAGGGTGTAAAAGCATCAAGGACACCGGTGACATTTAGAATTAGGAAAGCACTAGGGGAGCATGCTTAACCAGCCATTGGCTGAGGTGTTCTGGTGTTGAAATGCCAGCAGCGTATTATTTTCTCTCTTTTCCTCTATGTTCCTCACTTTGAGCCAAAGCAGCTGTGACAGTCGTTTTTCTGTTTTTTTTACAGCTTTGCACCACTCAGTAAGCAGAAAATACGAGATGCTTAGAACACCCAAGGGTGGATTTGAATCATATGTTAATCCCAAAGGTGATTGAACCTTATCTGGAACAGTTGAAAAAGTGTCCTTGCCCTCTTCTTTCATTTTAAATTCTAATTAAATTCCAACATGAATCAACGAATGACAGCATATTTAACATGTTGTCATATTTACAACTTCTTCTGCAATTGCCATTGTAACCAGCGCAAACATTAGGTAGACTACTTGATAAACTCAAAGTGTCTAGCATCTTACCAAACTGTGCTGCAAAGCCATCCTGTGGCAGAAGAAGGAGGAAAAGTTAAAGTAATATTTATTGTTCCGATCAAACAACAGAACATTTTCCCGGCACATTCAAAATCTTCTGCTTCTATGTGCAACAAATTGAAAATATATTGTTATATTTCAAAAAGGTATTCATACCTGATTTCTAGAAGCTCAACACAGAACAGCAATTCCTATTTCATTTCAAATGTTTAAAGACTAAGCTCAAAGTCTGAAAAGATGGAGTTGCTCTTTGACTGAAGGGTAAAAAGAGCGAAAAGAAAGAAAACTCCTCACTGTCTTTCTCTTTTCCTTCCCATGAGTAAGCTAGTCTGTGTTGAGGCATCACAAACCCTCATTCCTTCTGTTCTATGCCAAATCTATAAATACCATGGCCCTTGTGGAGGCCTTGCATCAGCATTTGCCCTTGAGCTCCTCTATCCAAGCATACATCAGAGAAGGTTTCCAGCTGTGGGGTGTATTGGATAGATTACTGCCTAGGACCCTCTATAACAAGGATTGGCCAACACTCGGTCCATGCCAAATCCCAGCTACACAAAGTTCTCCTCTGAGTATAATGCTTAAGGCATGCTATTAACCAATCCCTTGTTCCTTATACTCCCTTTTAAGTGTCAACTTTCACCTCTTTTCTACTTTTCTCTACACACACAAGTAAACATGAAACATAGAAGATGCAATAAAATAGGTGCACATTCTTTCTATACTTCATTACTCCAAAGTCATGTCTTCTTGTTGCCAATCCATTTTTAATGCCATGTGAACCCTCCGTTGAAGGTACACTTCAACTGAGTTCACACTTTCTCATCCATTTTACATCCTCGCTTCAATCTACAGTACGTCTATAATGCCTGAACCATTCTAACTCTCAATCCCACATGCAAAATCTAACCTGTTCCTTTACATGTGTTGAACATCACAATTAGACAGGGTAGATAAACAACAAACCCGCAAAACCCTCCATTTACATAACAGTGTCAATTTCAGTATTCATATATTTTCAGTATACTGATATTAAAATGCAAATTTTAGGGTAGCTAACTAGCTAACTACAGCTAAGCAAATCAAATCCTGAAAAGCAATATGTACACACACACATATATACAGATATGAGAGATGAAAAATGGGGAAAAAACAACCATTAGCTGTGAATGCATCTGTCTAGAATGCACTTTTCACAAAATAAAATAAGAAAAGATCGAGCCGCACCTTTTTTAATGCTCTGTCACAACAGGTCAATCAAGTGCTTACTTGTGGCATAAGGAGAAGAGAGAATCTAATAGACATCTCCCTCCATTCTGACACTTTTATGAGCTGTTATTGTTTATTCAAATTGTCCTATTTACAGCTGTGTAAAGAGTGAAATTAAAACTATAACTCAAGGGCAGAATGTCATACGGATGATATTACTATAGATGTTGGCCTACACGTGCATCAGCAAAGCTCCTCTGATGTATGTTTTGTATTTATGTCTAAAACTTAGAAAATATTAAATTACTTGTATACTACTACAAAACTGCAAAAACAGCAAAGTGTGTATACGTGACAAGATGTGTCTAATGTTCCACTACATTTTATTCTAAATGTTTAAAAGGTAACCATAAGAGCCCATTTGTGACCCTGGACCACAAAACCAGTCTTAAGACGCATGGGCATATTTTTAGCAATAGCCAAAAACCTTTCTTTTATGCCAAAAATAATTAGAATATTAAGTAAAGATCATGTTCCATGAAGATATTTTGTAAATTTCCTACCGTAAATATATAAAAACGTAATTTTTTATTAGTAATATGCATTGCTAAGAACTTAATTTGGACAACTTTAAAGGTGATTTTCTCAATATTTTGATTTTTTGGCACCCTCCGATTCCAGATTTTCAAATAGTTGTATCTCGGCCAAATATTGTCCTATCCTAACAAACCATACATCAATAGAAAGCTTATTTAATCAGCTTCCATGCGATGTATAAATATCAGTTTCAAAAAAGGTACCCTTATGACTGGTTTTTACTTCCTCAGTCTGTCTTCATGCAAGACTTTGAGGGGCTGATGGAATCTGTACAAGAAATTTTTTTTTTTAAATATTAATCTGTAAATACCCCTTGAACACCTATTAGCATCAGCAGTCTCTTTTAGTGAGTAAACCTCCATGGTTTCAGATGTGACAGTGTGTTGGCAAAGGTCCAGATGCTCGGAGAGAACTTGTTTTATGATTCCTAAAGCAACCAATACCTCAAATATCTCCTTGTCTTTCTCACAGTGATTTCTTTGTATTACCAACTTCCATTTAAACTAACATTGTTTCAGAAACAGTATCTGCTAATTTGTGTATAAAGCAGTTTAGGCAGTGGTTGTCCTAACACAACAGATGAAAAGCATTCGCATTTGTTCCTCTGCCAGGCTCACGCAGTTAATTGTCTTAAACTGAAAATAAATAAATGAAACTATGATTTATGCTCAGTAATTAAAATCAGAAAAAATTTAGCATTTTTGCCAAGTTCTCAAGATTAAGCAGCAAAATGAAAAATGCAAAATGAACACAACTCCAATTATTTGGCTGATAAAGAATTACACTGCAATAAGCAGCATTAACTACTCAACAAATGTATGATCAATGGGATGTGCATACCCCACAAGCAACAGAAAAGAGCCACTCTGTTTTTGGCTGGCAGGCCACTAGTTAGGCATTACATGTTTAATAATGTAAAGCTGTGTTTAAGCTGCTTTTATGTGGAGATACTTAAAGAAAAGGTTAGGACATCACGGCCGTACAATCATCACTTCCAAACCTCTTAAGCCATAACAGGAGAGCTCTCACTAAAACAGTATTCACCCTCAAAAGACACAATCAACTAAAGACTCTACAATCAAGTAAAATAAGTTTACTTAAAGCCTTTGTCATCGCTGTGTACTGCAGTAATTAATCCTCAAATTAAACAAATTAGCAATTAGAGGAGGAAGTAATTATAATGATTTAATTTGTTTGAGCGAGCAGTCCTTTGAGGCATGATTTAATGTCTAGGTATTCCTGCAGAGTGAATATTCATTAGCCCAAAAGTAGTGCTCCCTCTAGTGAATTGTTTGACAATGGTCTTACATGCTTTGACTGCCTGAAACACACTAATACATTTTAAGGTGAACTCGCAGTTAATAAAAAAATAAGATCTGCAAATTAAATTATGATTTAATACATTTAAATAAACACTTCTGGGATTTACACTGATTTCTTTGTATGAAATATGATTTTTAATTATTTTCTTAATTTAGACTATGTTCAAAAGTTTGGGGTTTGTACAAATTTTTTTTTTTAAGTTTCTAAAAGACGTCTTATGCTTGCCCAGGCTTCATTTATGTGATCAAAAAACAACAATACTGTGAATTACTGTTATAAATAAATATAATTGTAACAATATTTCATGCATAACTCTTTCATTTCAATACGTTTTAAAATGCAATTTATTCCTTTCATGACAAAGTTGAATTTTCAGCAGCTATTCCTGCAGCTGACAAAGTCACATGACTCATATTTTCCCAGATTCTTTAGTGAATGGAACGCTCAAACGAACAGCATTTACTGTATGAAGTTTCTGGTCCCCATTTACTTGTATACTATTTTCTTTTCCATGACATGGAAGTCAATGGGGACTAACAACTGTTTGGTTACCCACATTCTTTAAAAAATCTTCTTTTGTGTTTAGCAGAAGAAAAATTATACAGGTTTGGAACAACTTGTGGGTGAGTAAATTATGTCAGTTTGGGTGAACTATCCCTTTAAATGAATGGTATAAATATTGGCACAGTTGGTTACTGTCAAGGCAACCTAGTTGAGCGACGGGGGCAGCAAGGTGCCAAAGTCTATGTTAGGATAAAGCTAAGAACCACTTAGTCCAAAGTCCAGAACCACTCTGACCAACAGTGAGTGAGTAAATATCCTACAGAGATGCAGAGGTGCAAAGCACAACTTAACAGAAGTTGAAAAACATAAGAGAGTTATGAAGCATACCAGACTAGTTGTGTTCTGGCAATTAGTCTGTTCTGTTTGAGCAGTGAAAACATTTGGCACGTTGTCCATTTCTTTTTTTGGGAACATGACAGAAAATAAAATTAATGATATGAATTAAACAGACTCTTTCAAAACACTAGAAATTCTGCATTTTCACAGCAGGTGTGTTGTAATTTGGTCAACAAGATGAGTGCACATTAACCTATGATGCAATAAATTTTCCCAAAAAGAACGATTCAGAGGTAAGCATAGCACAGAGTCTTTTGCAAAAGAACTAACAACATGAAATTTACAACAATGAGCAGAACATGGAAGCAACTTTGCTTGCTCTTTGGTAAGCATTGTTTAGATTACTTCACATCATGCATGCTAAATCTTGAATGATTTGATTATTATATCTCTATAAAGATTTTTACTGGAGATGTCTTTGTGATTTTCTACAGCATTTCTATCGACTACAGCTCATGGAAATAATTCTTCCTGTTCTTCCTCTGAATTTACTTATGAGCAGATTGACAAACAGCTTCAGGTATAGAATTATCTACAGCTACAATGCAGACTCAAACTATCTATTTACATACAAAATGTTATTTTAATAAAATCATTGTTGACTATCGCAGGTACGTATAAAAATAAAATGAGATTTTTATATTAAACTCTCTTTATTTAGGCTATGAAAAATTGTTTTGAAACAATATCTATTACATGGACATCATACCAAAACGCAAACATTTTTAACCAACTACAAACACTGACTGATATCATCCAGAAGCAGCTAAATGAAGGTAGTTCAATAACCCCCTCCGAAAAAGGTTCTAAACAACATACTATGAGATTATCCTACCATGTTTTACTCACTAGCATATACTTAATGTTTTACTCAATAGCATATAGGCTGTTTTTCCAAAACTTCAATATAGTGCAATATCATCTCATAAGACATTTTCAGTTGTAAATATAGCACGGCACCCAGGTATCAGATGTGTACCATATGCAGTTACTTTTAAATATAGTTGAAAGACAGCAAGTTAAACAGCTAAAATGTATGTCTATAAAGTATTGAACAGATCCTCTCTTCACAGAGTTACGAAGGTTACTGCCAGCAAACTGTCCAGCTCCAGATGTGCCAGAGGATGGAGGCCTGCTGTGTATATCTGTGAAGAACAAGGTCTACTGTAAACCTATGTGCAATGCGGTATATTGTACATTATTCTCATTGCTATAATAACACATTTGATTTTTGCTATGTTTTTTTTTTAAATTATACTATAAATTACATTCCTGAGTTTAGGGTTTCTGCGGGTATTGAAAAGGTCTTAAATCAAAGCAGAAATTTCTTAAATTCATAAAGTCATGACATTCAATTTTGCATGCACTGCAACAAAAAATATATATATATCTTCCTCCGTACTTTTGTCTTGTTTTCTAAAGCAAATATCTAAACATCTTTAAATACATTTACTGGAGATTGAAAATGAAGAAGTCGTATGAAGCTGAACAAAAATATTTATGATTAAGAATAAATATCTGCTATAATATAATTTTCCCTTTTAATGAATTAAATTTTTCTGACTACATTGGCAGAAATTTGTTCTTGTTATAATCAAAGTCATTTTGATAAATTTCTCAGAAAACAAGTCATATCTTTTTATTTCATTTTGCATCTCTAGTAAATGTATCTTAATTTAAGAACCTGCAAAGAGTATGTGCACTTTTGTAAAATGTTTGCAAATGCTTTTTTCACTTTTATATGGACTACTGAATAGACACTTTATTTGAAGTTTGTTTAATGCGAAAAGTAGTGAAAATCAAAATGTATAAATAAACCTAATCAAAACGTTCTACAAACGTGTTCACTTGAACACTTGAAGCAAATGACATACTTAAAGGGGTCCTATTATGCTTTTTCACTTTTTCAACTTTAGTTAGTCTGTAATGTTGCTGTTTGAGCATAAAAATGATCTGCAAAGTTACAAATCTCAAAGTCCACTTCAAAAGGAGATATTTTATTTAACAGAAATCACTTTTCAAAAACTACAACGAACGACTCGTTTGGACTACAACGCATATTTTCCGGGATTTGTGGTATCACAAATATCGACAAACGAGACCTGGTTGAGCTGCACTAGAGAAGGCAACGAGTGTTATCACAATGTCGGAGATATGCTAGCTTTCCCAAGGCAGATGAACTTAGAGTGGTTACAATCATCTGGGTTTAAATCGCGCTCAAATTGATTTGATTTTGACACAATATTTACACTGAAGCTGGCAGGCGGCTATGGTAAGGGGCATGACATTTCCCGACCAGGCGCCGAGTTCTGCCAATCACAACACGCACTGGCCCAGCTAACCAATCACAGCACATTTCGTATTTCAGAAGGCGGGCCTTCATTTGATACAGGAACTATTCGAGCCGTTCATGCCAGACTGGGGAGAGAGGTGTTGTAATAATGTAAAATATTCGAACAACCTAGTACGAGAGCCTGTTCTAGTACACCCCCAAAACAAAATCAAGACTGTAAAAGAGCATAATAGGACCCCTTTAAGCAATGAAGCGCAAAGACTGCAAGTGTGGCTACTGTGACAGGTTGTACTTTGCAAGTGTGCAAGTTCCACTTCAACAGACGGAACCCACTGATTCATCAGCACCTCCCAGTGGACAACCCAAGATATCGACAACAAGCTTAACAACAGAATCCATGCCAGTCCTATAGGGCAGTGTTTCCCAACCGGGGTGCCGTCTGTCGAGAGCAGGGGTGCCGTGTAAAAAATCAGTTTTTAATATTTTTAAAATGCTAAAATGTTCAAAAAAGCATCTATTATATAATATCCATTTCTGATGTCGCCAATAATTAGAGATGCACCGAAATTCCGGCTGCCGAAAATTAGTTCACCGCTCAGGTTTCACTTTGGTGTGACGCTCTGCGTATTATCCCACTCTATGCGTGTGCGCTCAACTCAGTCGCTCCACTCGTATACCATTCATGCTCATCGGAACAGCAAAGTCCACTCAAAAATCAAGCTGACAGGAAACATCGATGTAGTACAGTATTGTTTCTGTCTGCAATAGCCCTACTGTGTTGTAACATGGTGTGGTATATGGGCAACTCTGGTAACGCTGCCCTTTCATTCATTGATCTGCTAACTGCTATGTTATGCTCATGTGTTCTGATAATAATAACTTTCTAGAACTAAACATTATTTGGATAATTGGTATAAAAATGTTTTTTAAATATCTTAACCCTACTGTTAGACCTACCTGAAAAACTAAAAAGCTATTTATTTAATTCGAAGGCCTGTCATTATTTTTTTATTTGTGCTATCATTATTAATTTATTTATTTGTTCTTATTTTATTACTGACTGCTTACTTGTCATTTTTTATTCAATTCAAACTTTGAATTTAATCTCGTGCTACTGCACCAAAATTACCCCACTGTAAAATTAAAAAAACACTGAGTGAGCAAAAATTTGTGAGATAGCTAGTTATAATGGTAATTAAATTATGTTTACATATGTATAAAAGCCTACATTAAATCTGTTACATATAATACATATAAATTGGTCTCTTCATTAGAAATTAGCCTACTGATTGCCACCATTGATGGACATTCTTTTTATAATATTAAAAATATCTGTATGACATTAGATTCTGCAGTTCTTCTCTGCTGTACAGAATATCTCTACTTTTCAAATGATCATATCGAAGTTAGAAATTCAAATAGTGTGACAAAATTAGTTTTGTAGGGTGCCACAAGTTTGTTAAAATTTCCAAAGGGTGCCACGACTAAAAAAAGGTTGGGAAACACTGCTTATAGGGTACACATCACTATCCTAAAAACAAAACATTTATTCTTCTGTATTTAATCTTTCCATGCAAACAGGGTTATGATTTCAGTTTTATAAGAAGATCAAGGCTGTTTGAGGAATGCAGTTCTGCCACACAAGACAAGTGGACAACACAGTTCATTGGTGGCAACAGGCTGGCTATATGCGACAGTAAGTTCTGAAAACATTACACATGCCCGTTTGTTTAAATTTGACTATATTATGGAGAAATCTCGTAGGTTTACTGGTACCATTCTCTAATGTAAATCTTGAATACTATAGTACTGCATGCTAAGGTGTTCTGAATGAGGTGTTCTTACATCTCCCATTAACTTCTCTCTGCAGAGTCCCGCATTGCAGTGTCAGGAGCACCTTCTGCCTACTTCCCTGAGGGCCAGGACTGTCAGAACATAAAGAGCGATGAACAACTAATGGGGAACATCACAAAAATCTTTCAATCAGAGTTGGTTATGGCAGGCATTACACAATCATTAGAGTCTTCCAGCCTTCTCTGTGGCTAAAACAAGAATTAAGGAGATCTAAAAATTGTTCAGAACTGACATAGTGGATATTCTGTGCAAAGTTAATTTTACTAAAGTTTTTGGACTTGAGTCATATAAGTGCAAAAATGTTAATAAAATGTCACTTAAGGAATTACTGTACATGATGTAACAACTAATGAATCTTCATAATGACAAGGCCCAGTACAGAAATATCCAAGCCTAGTAGATGACAAGGGTAAAGCATAAAGGGCAAACTAACACAGGCAGCATCATTTACAAAGAATTGTTTATTTATTTAGGCCTCTTTCTTTTTTTTTCTAAGTATTAGCAGTTCTAATTGCTGGGGGGAGATTTTCAAAATCTTTAGACATTAGTCATGTTTCTCTAAGCGATTTTACAGTATACAATTAAATATGTTCAGACAATGAGAAAATAAAGCAGCCTATTACTAAGAGGGCTTCAGAGGATTTAATTTCCGTGGAATAATCTTCCCATTGGGGTCTAAGGAGGAGACAAGAATCAGACAGATCAGCTTAATGGCAGATGTGCACCAGTCATCCAATCTTACCAATCATAGCCAGAGGTCAATGAATCTGCCCCCGTTCATTTTAAACATGATTGCTGGATGTGCAACATTTCCACCATGCTGAGAAATCATGTGTGATTTTCTTTAGACAGCCAAAATAGTCCATTTCCATTTGTGTCCAAAATGTTTAATGACATATTTAATAACAAAGCAGCAGCCTATTTTTGGAAATTACATGAACGCAATTTATTTGCAAGCATAGATAAAAGCTAATTCAAATGTTCTCTTTGGGATGTATTGTTGCAACAGAACCACTAGATGCCAGTGTTATCAGCATTTTAGATAAAACTGCAATGTGAATGCATAACACAGAATCAGTGCATATAACACTGATTCTGCGTTAATAACAAGAACAGTTCTACTCTAGAAAGAGATCATTTAGTTAAACTTTTTAACAGTACAAATAAGCAATATCTAAACTATAGTTGTTACAATGTTGTTTAAACTGTACATGAAGTCTGTGACCAACTAAATTAAATAATTTAAAGGCAAAACATAAGTGACAGTAATATAAGCCTACAAAACACAGAGGGTTTTTGAAGCACACGCTGAAGTCTCACTGAAGCACTCTCAACAAAATATGCCCTTCTGTGATAACTTCTGCAAAGAAAAAAGTTTACTTCATTGTGTGTATGATACAAAACACATTTCTATTAGCATGTGCCTAGAAAGCTCAATAGCAGTGTTCATCTATTTTTCAAACTAAACTGCTTAAAATACTTCCTCAGTGCCTTAGCTTTGGGTATAAGTAGATTGTAGTAGTAGTAGTGTCAATGAGAAAGACCATTTTTCATTTCATTGTGTTTGAAAAAACATAGTTACCAGTTGCAGGGAGTGAATCTCAGAGCTGAGGGTCTCTCGCAGAAGCTCAAGCTCTTCTTCTTTATATAACTCCAGCTCTTTCTTGAGTCTGAATGTCACACACAGGCACATGCAGGAGAACTGGTAATGGTTAACCAATCATGAGGCTCAACGCAAAATGATACAAGCTTAAAATGACACATGATCTCTTTTCAACATCATATCTTTTCAAATCACCCAAAAAAAATTTAATCTGGTTCAAATCATTCAAGTTTACACTTCATATTATTAAGAGAACTAAAAGAATAGAGAAAGAAGATTTTATTTATAGAACTATTACTGTAATATGTGTACTTTCAGAAATCTAATTAATATGTATTTGTTAGAAATAATTTTGCAAGGTAACATCAGTCTAAATACTGGTTGTTTATAGATAGATAGATAGATAGATAGATAGATAGATAGATAGATAGATAGATAGATAGTAATCATACATTCATACAACAATTCATATTCAGGGAAATGATTGCAGGAAATTTGCACTTATTTTCAGCAGAGCCTGAGGGGTGTCTCTGCTAAAGCGAGCACAGTGAAATCCTTAGCATACTACAAGAAAAGCCAACCTTGAAGAAGCACATATTTACGGAGTACAGAATATAATCACAAAAATGACATAAATGGTATACGATCTTCCTTTATCAGGTTACAACTACAACTTTAAGAGGAAAAACAAGCCTTAAAGGGATAGTTCACCCAAAAATGA